ACGATAGAGCTAGGAGCAGCTGCCGGCCCTCGGGGTGTGGAGCTGTCGATTCTCCTCACCTGGGGATGGTGGGAGGGGGATGCTCAGGGCACTCTTGAAGTGCCCGGGCACTTATTACAGGAGAACTCGTTTGCTTGGTGCGTTACACAGCACAGGGGTTATTTGTTTTTAGGAAGTTCACCAAGTTTCGGGGAAAGTCTGTGGGGCTTTGGCTGGTGTATGTTCCTGGTAGACTTTGTTTATGGAGCGTCATTTTCTACCCAGGCCACCTAATTGCCAGCATGTGTGCCCAGAGCTCAGAGATTTTGTTTCTGTTCTGACCAATGAGAGCAGGATCCATAATCCCCTTTTGCTTAGGTTGGTTTCTTCTTGGTTGTATCAATACTTAATTCTCTTTCCTGAAATTCAATCATGCTGTTTTCCAGTAATGTAGACATGTCAGATTCAATTGTATCCTTTTTTTTATACTTTAAGAGTATTATCCTTGTGAAATCCTGAGCCTCCACTGCAGAGTCACATTCATAGCAATTTCAGGCACCTGGAAGAACTTTTATTCTCGTCGTAAGAAGTTTTTATTCTCATTGTAAGAAGTTTTGCCTTTAAGAACATGTGAGCTGCTCTGACACGGCATTTGGAGTTATTTTCTCAGGAAGTATAATTAAGTGCTGTGCAAGAGATATGTTGCAACTTGATGAATTGTTTTTTAAACAAAATATTTTTTTGTGTTTGTGTTTTTAGACAGAAGTATCACAAAAGGAAGCTGGGTAGCCTTCATCTGGGGTTGTGGTTGGAACAGGTCTTGCCTTGGTACTGGGGTCCCCTGTCAGGAGAAGATACGAAGCAGCCACAGTGATGTAAGAGGAGCTGGTGATTCCCTCTCGGGCCTGAGGAGTTCCCTGGGTAACGGAATTTTTTTTGTTGTGCTAGGCAGCTGTTGGCATTAGCTGCAAATACAGCCTGGATTTTTGGTTGTCACAGATCTTTTTATTTTTCCTCCTGCTCAGCTGGGCTGTGGACTGGCCAGCAGAGACCTGGAAATAGCGGTGAGCAGTAGCATGCTTTAACTAACAGTAAATATGCTAAGGACAAACTTTTTGTGATTTATCATGTTTTCTGCAAAGCAGTATTTGTTGTTTTGACTGTTTGCACTGTTGAAAAAAAATCTGAAGATATATTATTTTTCAAAGGCTTTGTCAATTGATGGAACATCAGTACCCATATCAGTAGGACTTGTGTTGTGAAAATCATTCTTCTTAACGCAGTATTAAATGCATGATTATATCCTGTTCCGCAGCCATGCCTTTTTGCCAATATATGTTGAAGAGGTGTATGTGGTGTCCAGCTAAAATCATCCCATTCAAGTCCTTTTAACCCGAGGGAGTGAAAAAATGCACGCATGATGCCCGGCTTCTCCTTTTTTTTCCCTTTAGGCCACGCTGAGGTGTTCTGCGTGGCTCTTTGGTTTGATGTGAATGGGCAGTTTTTCCCCGAGTGCTTGTTTTGGGATGTGCTCACCCTGTGGGGGTAACCCTGGCGTTGGTGTCCCTCGCTGGGAGCCCGGGCCCATCACAGCGGCTTGGGAAGCTCCCCAGATGAGCGGGCTTCACCTCTGAATCGCTCCAAGGGATACGGAGACTGACGTGCCGTGAAAGGTCACCCTAACAGAGGAGGCTGTTATTTAGGCAAGGCGTGCCACGTTCTGGTGGGAATTACTCCCCAGTTCCTAAGAAAGCATCCAGGCTCTCATCTATAATTGAGGTTATTCTCTCAGCTTCAGCAGCACGAAGCTGCACCTCTCTCACAGGCATGTTGTTAAACAAGGAGAGCATAAGAGGGAAAATCCATCACCCCACTGCTGCTGCTGAGCTGGAGGGACATGGCACAGCTGCCCCTCGCTCCACACGGCAGGCTGGCAGCCTTCTGCTTCAGTCTTTCCAGGTCCAGGGACACCACGCTTGCAGCTCCATGCAATTCGGGCCACCTCCGTGGTGGTGAGGGACTCTGTGAGTTTTACCTCTCAGGTTCCCACCCCGCCCTACTCTTCTACTTAGTTCCAGAATCGTGTCAGAAGCAAAATGCTCTTCTATAGCATAGCAGAAACATTCTACCAAGCTATGACTTGCCTCAAAGGTGATCTTCTATAGCCATGAAATGGTTTCATCAGATATATAACCTTGTTCTGCTCTAGGTGAGGGTCATTTCCAGGAGAGGCTGTTCTATGTGCTGTATTCAGGGCAGCTAACAGCCTCCTGCAGATTCTGGACTGAACTAGTTGTCACCAAAGTAAGTGGGAACAAAGAAGGAGTCATTGATCCCAGGTGGTTCCTGGATATTGGGAGGGAGGGCTGTAGCCCAGTTTTTAGTGTGAAAGCTTTAAAGGGGTGATGTTTTGTTGAGGCAGCTGCATCCATATCTGTTACCAACACAACATCCCCTTCATTGGCAGGCAAAGCCTAGCGGCCACATAATTATAAGAGCATAAGATTAACCCGCAAACCATAAGAAACTCCTTGAAATGAAATCCTTTGCCCCCGATCCCTTTTATCTATATTCCAAATCCTGCTGCGGATTGACTGCAACCGAGCTGGACGTGCCAAAGTGCAAAGGGTGACATTTGCAGCTTGTCCTTGCCTTCACCTGGTACCTACAGGTGTGACGGTGCAGCCAAGTGACACAGCACTGCTGAGTATCATGACAACACAATCACTGTTACCTTAACACAAACTCAGGTCGTGGTGACCTGCTTACTCAGCGCTTTAGAATGAGGCCCAGACCTTCCTCTGCCTGCCCACAGCTACCAGAACAAAATCCAAGCCCTTTGGAGAAGGCCATGGTTAACGCCTTGCACCTGCTGTGGGAAAAGCTGCTAAGGACGTCACAAGAAGGACCACACACAATTCCACTAGAATGTTATTTACCTGCATGTCAGGCAAATCCTTTCTGCTTTTTTACATGGAGCAAAACTAGGGAAAATAAAAGAGCTAAGCTACATCTGCCTTGTTATTGTGGCTTATTTGCAGGGGGACAACATGTAGGGGAGCTTCGGAAGAAACAAGACTGAAGGCAATGAAAACATTCATATACTAATTCTTGCCAACCAGTGTCTGTAAACAATTCACCTAAAAATAAAAATTGTTGTAAATTTCCACTAAAACTTGGAGCTGGCTCCTGGGCTGAACTTACCCTCACTAAAAGGGAGCCCGACAGAAATAGCAGGTTTGTGATTTGGAGGAGGCGGTTTTGAAAAGACCTTGTTAAATTCAGATTTTTGCTTTGCCCAGCTACATAAGAACTCATGGAAATTATGAACTGGGTTGCAATAGTTCATGTAAAATATGACCTGGTTTAATTTTAGGGCTGTGCTGTCTTCTGTCCTTCCTCTTTAATGAAGAAATGAAGATGCTCAGGGCAGGTGGGAGGGGGCTTGAGGGCTATAGGTGATGTGGGGCCAGCCCAAGGAATTAAATGGCCAAGGGAGAAGACGGAGGGAGAGGAGTTTAGCTCCTTGCCCCCTCACTTGAGGAGCAGCAGATGAAGATCTTGCCTTCTAATCACCTCAGGGAAAAGGAGTGTTTCTAACTTCGGGATCTGACTGTTGCTTTCAAAACAGCGTGCAGAACTTCACTCTCCAGCAATGGTAGGCTTTAGCATTTCTTGAGAATTAATGGGTTTGTGTTTGTTCTTTTCTCTGTCTTAGCAAGTCCATGTGTATGCAGTAAGTTAATTTAGAGGAGTGGAGCCCGAGGAGATTTCTGTTAGTGTTAATGGTTGGTGCCGTCTTGTAAAGGTGTGTGATTCCCATCAGGCTTTTTCCAAAGACAGGAAAACATGGTTTATGGGAATAGTTTTTATGAGTGTTAGAAATTCAGTGGTTGTGGCTTTACTAACCTTTCTAGAGGATATATGAGAAACTGATGCTGAAAAAAGAGAAAGTAAAAATTATTCTACTTATTAGAGAGGGGCAACAGGTGCCCAGAGATGTTGTGGCTGGCCCCTCCCTGGAGGTGTTCAAGGCCAGGTTGGACAGAGCCTTGAGGAGCCTGATCTAGTCGAGAGGTGGCGTCCCTGCCCATGACAGGGAGGTTGGACGAGATGATCTCTCAGGTCCCTTCCAGCCTGGGCCATTCTGTGATTCTATGATCACAAACTGCATCTGTATTCGTTGTGCTGTGCTGTAAAGGAAAGAGAAGGCGAATGGCAAAAGGGGCCTTCAAAATTTTTGTCTGCCCTAAAACCGGTGTGAGTGGGTTGGTTTTGTTTTCCGCCTTGAACACTCGGGAATACTTGTGAATTGTAGAATCGTTAAGACTGGAAAAAGACCTCTAAGAAGTTGTTTTCTATCCTTCACCTGGTCTCTGCGATTGAATTGGATTATTAAAATCTAGTTAAATGCCTTGCCACCTTTCATCAGCTTTCATAAATAATTTGCAAGAGCAAGAAACAGAAAAAACCCCACACTGGAATCCCTGCTCGTGTGCAGCACTTCTAGCAACTGTTTTGTGTCAGGAGCGCTACAGAGCTTTGCCTTAGGGTAGTCACCAGATGACAATGACAGTTGCAGGTTTATAAAGCTTTTGTTTTTATTTTTTTTTCCAAAGTAATAGAATTGAAAAGTTTCTGGAAAAGCCTGTGGTTTGACAAAACACTGAAGAGTTAGGAAGTACTCATGCTCTACCATGGGGAAAAAAAAGGTAACGGGCAGGAGAAGTTACCCAGAAGTTTTTTTCTTTGTGTCCTTCTCACGTGCAACCTACATTGTAGAAACAAAGAGGATTATTTGGTAAAATGGCAGCATTCTAGCAGTACCCGAACCTCCTGTGTGCTGTGTGGTGCCAGATGATAAACCAGCCATTGGAAAAAGCCAGCGCTCGGTGGTTAAAGGGAAGCCAGCTGCCTTTTCGCGCTGCAGGAGTTAGATGGGTAGCAGAGTGCCAGGTGATGGAGACAGACAGAGAGAGAGGACCCCGTGTATCCGCAGTAGTGCTGGTACTTACCACCTGTTAAGCACCAATTCCTAGAGCGGCTCTGCTCTGCTCTATTAGTTTTACACCCTAGAAAAAAGAACACAGTTGTGAGAGAGATACCAAGGGAGCAAAATATGTAGTGCCTGAGCAGGAACTACAATAAACTTCAACTTGTGGTTACGTTATGCTACAAAAGTTAATTCTAATGGTAATTCTTAACCTTAGAATCTATGTGCTCATATATGCTGGGTACTTTTCAGTTTCACAAAGGTAGAAAATAAACTTTTAGAATGAATTACAGACAAACTAATTCTTTCCTGAGTCTTCCTAATACATTTACCTACACACTGCTTTGGTTAAAAATAAAAAAAGGATTCAGTCAATGAGCAGTTTATTAGTAATGCAGTTCTGTGCTTCAAATGCTAATGAGGTTGCTGTTGGAAATTCTCGTTTAGCATTCCTGTAAATGCTCTGCACTTGCTCAGCAATAAATCTGCGGATAGAGTCCTGTGGTTATTTCAGAGATGATCAAACGTTGAACCAATTAATGTATTTGGGGTTGATGAGTTTAAAACAAATGGCATGGCAGTTCCTGGGACATAATCAGCTGGACTCCCCCACAAATACATCACAAATACATCAGGCAGCTCTGATAATTGATCCAGATGCACTTTCAACCAGGAATCCCTCAGGGTTCTCTAAGAATCTGCAGCACGGAAGGAAGTTTATGTATGCTGAACATGTAGTTCAGATTCTACACAGACATATTTTTCACCTATGGCTTGTTTCTATCTATGTAAGAGTTATTCAGCTTTTCTGGACAGGGACCTAAGAACCTCACGTAATCTCGAATAAAGCTGTGCTCTGAGCAGATGACAGGACTATGTTACTTCCGGGCAACCTCGGCGCATGAAATTGTTCGATGACTGTAACCTGTGACTACAGTCTATACAGTCCAAAGATATGGTATGCTCTGCAGGCAGATTTTTTTTCTAAGGCCACTCGCACAAGTAACCACATCGGTTTGCAGAACTGCTTTTGTAGTGCTTGGCTTGCCAGGGAGTTTCCTCTATACATTTTTGTTGTGTTTTTTTTTTTTTTTTTAAAAGGAGATAGGAAATACCTCTTCCCCGAGGCATGTCTCAATATCCGACTGCTTGCAGCACTTGTCTGTCATGGAAGTGAAATTATCACCAATTGCCTTGATTTGTTCTTCTGTTATTTGGGGCTTGCGTTTAATGAGGTTGATGAGCAATCTAAAAACAAAGCCACAATATACAGTTAATGCTACCTGTTGTAGTTGGATTTCCCAGTTTAAAGTGCACCATTTTATGCAGGTAGAGCTCATTTATGAGTTCTTCTGTGCCTATCTGTGACTCCAAACTCCCAGTGTGCCACAACCATCTGTTGGCTTTTTGTTACAGGTGTGAAATAACTTCTCAAAATGCTCTGTGTCGTGTCTAAAACAAGCACATCTTAAGACTTGCATGGGCAGTGGAGTGACATGAACCCCGCCAGCTGAGACATGGATGTCATTTGAAGAAAATACCCTATTTTGCCTCTTCCCAAATGCATGATATTATGCAGTGACAGAGCACAAACACCTAGTTCCATCTGCTTTCCTCCCTGTTGCTAGTGAAGTCCCAGTTAGATGACAAAATAGGGCCTTTGTAGCTTCCTTTGTAAGGCGTTACCCTTCCTAAGTTGTTCTACCAGGTATTCCTTCTTTAGCTTACTTCGCCTGCTTCACTTCCTGTTCGGCACGGGGAGCAGAGCACAACGTTTCATCGAAGTCGAACACCTGAGGGTCAAACGGTGGAGGCACGTATTTGGTGTCTACCCCCAGGGCAGTGAAACACGGTCTCCTGTAAGCGTAGGAGTCGTTGCAGCAACGTGAGACGTTGTCGTTGATAGGTGTGGTCTCCTGTCTCCTGCACAGGTCCTGAATCACCAAGCTCAGCTGCAAAGGGAAGAAGGACAAACCTGAGTTACACCTTCTGCAAGAACAGAAGACCTACGTGATCTTTGTGTCCCAATAGCATGTTCTCGAGTCCATCAAAAAGTAACAGACTTCTGACTGTTAGGTGGATGCAGAGCTTGGGGTTTAAGAAAAACCACTGCGAGTCTACTATTTCAACAGACCTGAACATTTTATGGAGAGACTAAGTCTCCAAGAGGAGCTTAGAGAATTCACAGCTGTACTCACGTATCCCTCGGAACAGGGCAGGCGTCTGTCTTCAGGAAGGCCGCAGCACTTCGTGCCCACGGCTGTCAATTTCTTTCCAATCTCATACAAGGTGTCAGTAGATACCTGAGGCATTTTCTTCGTGTAGCGGGTCACAATGCTGAAAAAGTCGTATCAACATGACTCTTAGCTCAGGTTTGAAGGATGCTCGACTGAGCTAGACCACTGAAGTGGAAACAGAAGTGAAGAAGAAATAGATCTGCCCAAAGCAGACAGTACAATTGTTTAAACTCAAGAATACTGATCAGAGAGTACTTACGCTTTAAGGAAGTCTGCCTCTCCATGGGTGTTGAGAAACTCGCAGTTTGTCTTCACAACATCCTGAGTTTCTCTGATATGTTTGTTCAAATCATCTTCCTGCAAACACGTATTAATTTAGTAGAAATGTTAGAGCAGGACATCCTAGTAACAATCATACAAATACACCTTTTGACATCTTCTAAATCTTATTAGCTCTAAGATAACCCGTTTGCCAGGACGGCTGCATCTGTATAGCCCGGGTGTCGCAGGGGAGACTTGATTCTCAGGTGAATCTTAACAGAAATTCCTTTAAAATGGTAATAAGATTTCTGAAATTTAAATGAAATTAATTACCCCTTGGACTAAATTTCTGGACAAAGGAGTTCTTCCATTTGTTTTAATTGGGTGTATATTGCTCAAGAATAGAATTATCAACCATGAGAGGAACATCCTCTTCCTATGGCAAAAACTGTCACAATTTGTGCTGTGACTCGTGGGCAATTCAGCTGAAGATTAGGAGATGTAAGTGTAGCTCTGTGCGACCTGACCGTGCAGGTTGCCATCATAATGCGTGAGCAGCCATACTCCATGTAGGCAGCAGAGCCCCCAGAACAATTCAGCTAACCAGCAATTAGCTGATGTCTTCGGGACAAGCAGAATCACTTCTGAGAGACAAAAGGATCAATCAGGCAGCTGAGTGACACTAGTCTGGAGTTTCATAAAATGACCAGTGAAGTTACCCTGTGATCTGAGAACAGTTTGCATCCTTGTCACGGGCCCCAGACTCCTTCATCTCCCATTGGAATACTAACTTCCCCTGGATTTAGTCTCGCAAAATGCTTTGTCTGCTCTTTCGTAGGAGCTTCTCAACCCAGTTGTTTTGTGGTAGGTACCAACCAAGCATTCCTGTTACCTACCAAAAAATCCTTGCACCTACCGCGTTTCCGTAGCACTCGGCAGGGTTGTCTGTTTTGCAGCATTTTTCCAGGAGTGCTTCGTATCCCTTAGCAATTCGCAGAATCAGCTGCGTGGAGAGCTCAGTGTGTCTTCGTGAGTATTCATAAAGAAACCTGAAACACAGGCGAGCTGATAGAATTAGAGCTCCCAAATAGCTTGCTCCTTTGTTCACACACAGCACAGTAACTGACCATGGCAGTTCCTCAGGTGAGATCAAGGAAGGTGGACAACGAGTTTGGAACACTGCCTGCTCGGTGTAGTAGAATTTTGTGGTTGTTCTGTTGTCTGCCAACAAGGCAAACGTGAGAGGAACAAAATAGCTCACCAGGACAGACCAGGACATGCCCATGTACGTGGGCATGCACAAGGCCCTCAGACCAAAGGAAGGCACTAATCAACTCAGCTTGGATAAGCAGGACAGTGCTGAGGAGGAGTCACAAAGCACGAATGAAAAAGGCAGGGTTCAGCTGGGGCTGAAGCTACAGGATTTACATTGGACTTCCCTACAGTCTTCTCTCTGTACATTCTTGAAATGTCCAAGAGGACAGTTTTTCCAGCAGTGTGCAAGGCCATAGCTCAGCAAGGACAGAGGATCAGTTGCAGGAATGTTCTGACACAAGCAGATATACTCTAGGCACTACTTACTCGGTCAAGAATCCATCATGGTCTGCCTCAAATTCTTTACACACATCCTGATTTTGTATGTATCTCTCGACTAGCGAAGGAAGATCTTCAGGCTTGTCATCAAACTCGGCATCGATAATGCACTGGCTGCGCTCCACCACTGATTTCTCACAGCAGTCTTTGATTTTACTTGAGAACACATCTTGTTTAGAGCATACATAGCTCATAAGCTCTGCCTGTCAAATTAAAATGCATTATCAGACAAGCTAGGAAATAATAATTTTAAGATAGATTAGTTAATCTCATCTCACTTTGTCAGAGTCTTCCCTTCTCATTGAGGTCACCTTTTTACTTACCACTTTCCTAAAGAAATGCCGTCCTCATACCAAAAGAAATCATCAGAGGGACGGGCACATCATGTGTGTGTTAAGCACAATGTTCACAGGAACGGGGGAGAGTGTGGTTGCCTCCCTGATCTTAAGAACTTTGAGAAGACAAATTCTGGGAAGCCAAGGCAAGTCACTGACTGGTCTCTCACAATGATGCCTGATGGATTCTGTGAGCTTTGATAGATTTCATGATTTGATTTCAGCCAAACATTTCTGCTATGCTGTAAGTAACAGCTCCTTGCCTTTGTGATCATAAAGGGCCAGATCCACAACTAGTCCAAAACAGCACAATGAGCTGAGCTGCCAATGGGTTTTTTCATTGGCTGAGGAACCTCTGAGCAGCACTGACTACAAGTTCCCTGGACTTGGAATTAGTAGCTCCACAAAATATAGTCTTTGTAAATATTTTTTCAAGTACATGAACATTTTTGAAAAATACTTAGCTTACCCTGTCATCCATGCACTCTACCATGTCCCCACTGCAGCACTCTTTGGTGACATCCAGACTCCCACGTACAAGTTTAATAATTTCTGAGACTGGAGCCTTGGGATATTTCTGGCTCATGCGAGTAATCAGACTAGGTGGAAGAGAAGAAAAATACTCTTAAAGCTCCATCTTGAACAGGAACTTTGCAAGTCACTAACAGTTAATGATACTACTGATCCACACAGTTTTAAGTAAACATTCATCCTTCTCATCTAATTTCTGTGGATACTAAAAAAAAAAGGGGGCAGAGCCACTTGCACCACTAACCCCTTTAAAAGAGACAGAAAAAGCAAGTTTGTGATAAAATACTCTTAAAGCTCCATCTTGAGCAGGAACTTTGCAAGTCACTAACAGTTAATGATACTACTGATCAACACAGTTTTAAGTAAATATTCATCCTTCTCATCTAATTTCTTGTGGATACTAAAAAAAAAAAGGGGGGCAGAGCCACTTGCACCGCTAACCCCTTTAAAAGAGACAGGAAAAGCAGGTTTGTGATTCTCATGTTCTGAGCTGTCTGTGTTAAGAATCACACCCTGTATTTCCCCCTTTACTTTGCTGATTACCTCTATGCCCATCGCTAAAAGCTTTAGGTGTCAGACTGGGGCACAGCTTTGGCAAAAATGTAGCTTCAACACACTGGAATCTGGTTCTGAGTGACGGTCCCTCAGTGAATTCTGCATCTCCTGGATTGGTTCTAGAGACAGTTTCACTTCTTTTTAGTACTCACTCTCGGCCTGTAATACACAGGTTCTCCTTTGTGTGCCATTTTTATGCAGAAGCCTGAATGAAATTCTCCATTTAAATAAATAGGCTAAGAAGCGGCTGTTGGCCTAGTGTAGAAAGACTGACACACTGATCTCTATTCCATTGGACCAAATCTCTACTCCTCAGCCAAAAGTACACTAGGACGTAGCATGAGGGCAGTTTTCTAACTCGGCACGTAGCAGTTAAATATGTAAGTTGATGCTTTCCTCTTGAGTGGCTTCAGGCTTAAGCTAACAAGCCGACTTTTAAAAAAAAAACTGATTGGAACTTACTTTGCTTGGAAAATTCTGTCACCAAACTTCTTGATGATTCCACAGAAATACTGCTGCTTCAAGCTTGCTTTCTTGGCTTTTTCTTTTATGGCAACTGCCTATAGCAATAGGAAGCACACTGTCACGTTACATGATTACAACTAATAGACTGATTAAAAAAGCAAATCTGAAAATCACTCTTCATGAAGTTTGGCTTTTAAACTCACTTCTCACTTTAAAGAGAATTGCTGCTAAGGTTAGGCAAGGCCTTCATGTAGCAGACCAGTTCCTTAGCTTTCACCCACAGTGGAAAAATTGCCATACCTTTTCATCCAAGCAAGCACCAACGTCGCTCTCTTTGCAGCACTTTTGAAGCGCGTGTTCATAATCAGAAGCGAGACCAAGGATGCTTGGGGCATACAAGAAGGGGTTTCTTCGTGCAACAGTATAGATGAAACTGTAAGGAAAAGCTAAGTTAGGTGTTGCCATGACAAAAGGAAATGGCCTTAAATCTTCTACAGCCTGTGTCACTTTGAATTCTAGCTGAGAAGTGTAATCTGCTTTCCTAGCGTAACGCCTAACAATGGGCAACGCTCTGCTAAGTCTCACCGTGCCCAAAGCAGGACCTAACGACAGAAGGGGGAGCTCCTCAGGCTGTCAGCCACTTAGTTCGCCGTACATACGCTTTTTCAAAATGCATTGTCAGATACTTGAGAATTCTCATGCTGAGCGTGAAGAATTCATCTAGGGCTTTCTCACCAAGATTTCAGTGCCAATTTTTATTCTTTTTACAGTTATCTTTCTTCATCCATCCAATTACAGCGGGGGTAGTGGGAAGTTAGAGCAAGTACGTAATTAGATCAATCAGTACTGGGAACGCTGTAGTTTTTCAGGGGTTTTGTGAAAGAAGAACAAGTCTCCCAAGATTTATAAAATGTGATCCCTTAGAGACCCTTTCTGAATGGAAAAACCTGCTCTAGCATGGAATGAAGACATGCGGTCAGAGCTTTAGATATTAAACCACTGAGCGACTGTTTTATACAAGCAGATATGAAGGGGAATAGCTGTAACTTTTTCAAAGGCTCTGCATGTCTGCACACCCCGTAGAGCTTGGGGAATCCCTCCTGCGCACGACTAAAGCCACAAACAGTACCAAACGGTGAGTTTGCTTACTGTCCCAGGAATGACACCCGGTTGTCCTGGTACTCCTGGCATATCACGTCTGCAGCTGGTCTTTGGTAGGGCTGAACGAAGTCTGGCTGGGGAACTTTAAAGGACAGGAAACACTCATTCCTTTCAGGATCAGCTTTAGCACAGCAGTCGGCCATTGCACCATACGAGTCGCGGAGACTTTCTACTTGGCAGATTTCATCCAGGAAAATGGAGGGCTGTAAGACAGTTGCTGGGGGTTAGATTCTTGTTTGTAGACAGTGTAATGTCCATTCCATCTATTCAAAAAAGAAAATCTTGATGGAAAAGGAAATGCATTTTTACTGGGTAAGATTTAGACCATAAATCAGAGTAATCCATTTTTTTCAAGAGTTTTACAAAGTTTTATTTCATGTGGTCCAATACCAAAGCTGTTATGATGCTTTATTAAAAAAAAATAAAAATTCAAATACTCTGTGCAAGACAGTGATCTCCATTTAACTCATCATCTGCCTAGACTGAATTTTCGGATCACTTCAAGCAGTATTTGATATTCCACTTGAAGATCAGCTTGGAAAATCTTTAGGGAACTAATGTAGTCATGGCATTTGGTCTGGACATTAGAGCTTGCATGAACACAACATCGAATTTTCTGAAGGGCCAGTTTGAACCTGCCAGACTTTCAGGGACCTTGCGTACCTGCAAACTTTGTTTTTATGTGATCTTAGGCGAGTTTTTTAAAAAAATACTTCTTAAACTATTTTAAAGTACTTTGTCAAGTCACCCCAGTGTGAAAACCCACGCACTTTAGTGATTTAATACGTAGAATCAGACCTGTATTTTTACAGCTGGGGTATTTGTGCTAAACGCTGATGTTTATTTCCAGGCATGGTTAGCTCAGCCAGCTGAGCGCGGCGCTGACAATGCCAAGCTCGCGGGTTCGATTCCTGTTCGGTCCTCATGTGTTGCCTGAACTAGTCGAGAGGTGGCGGCCCTGCCCATGACAGGGAGGTTGGATTAAATGATCTCTAAGGTCCCTTCCAGCCTAGGACATTCTACGATGCTACGAATACTAAACCTAACGTGCCAAACCGTGGTGTTTAGGCTTCAATATATGGCTCCCTAGACCATTTAAGGACTTCTGCAAGGCAGTTTTGGAACCTGAAAGAAACAAGTCCTTCGTTTCAGCACTAAAATCTGAGTGTGGGCCGATGACAACAACAACACCTGGAAGAATCGTGTAGAAATCCTCAGCGAGGATGATTCTGGTAGCTGTGCAGAACGACGAGGAACACAGTACCCAAGGATTCACTGCTTACCAGTGATTTTGTGCACTCAGGAGCATCTTCATTGGCCACACACTTCTGTGCCAGATCAACGACGTCCTTCACCAGCTTAGACAGGCCGTCGTAAGAACATTTCTGGAGATACTGGGCAAATGTGATCAAGGTACTGAAACACAAAACGCATTTTGGAATATGGAGATAAGAAATGTAACAATGTTTTCAGAGCCGCTTCTGGATTCGAAATCATCTGTTCACATGATGTGCATAAACATCTAAACAGAGTAGCATGAAGAACATAGTTTTGGATCCCATATCCTTCTTCTCACTTCCGTTCTGAGAAATGTTTTTAACCTTATTTCCTCAGAACAGAAGTCTTGAATAAACCATTAGAAACAAAACAGAAAAGATGGCAACTGAGGTTTCTGCCACTTTCACTGGCACGTTGGTAAATGTTGCAGACTACGATGTTTTTCTCTGTTGTTACAAATTACCACCTTTGAATTGACTTCTTGCCAGGGCTCTCTGCCACTCCCCAAACAGGTTTCATAAGAAAGTTATTGAAGTGTCTCAGAAAATCTATTGCAGGTTTCTTTTTTGAGGTTGGTGGTTTGCTGGTGGTTATTTTTTATTTTTAATTTTTATTTTTTTAATGTCTCATACAGCATAACCCTTTTCAGCCAAGGGTACCACAACTGTATTACTCATGCCTGGTTTCTTTTTGCATGAGGAACACAGGTTTTCTCGTCAGGTTTGCAAGGAGTTCTTTTCCCTGCCAGCAAGAAAGTCATCGTGACTTTTGCAGGTCTCGGAATATTTGTAGGTGCTGTATCCTAACAGCACCAAGGCTAACTTAGCGCTGTGCTTCAGGGAGGTACATACACTTCCCTTGACTGTCGAATATTGGCAGAGATGGAAAACAGTAACGAATTGTAAGCTGACCATTCACTTACACTGCCTTAAATGTCTCTTCTTTCAAGTCATTGTAGCGATGGGCAATCTCACTCTTGTACTCTAGGAAGAAAAAGACAACAATGATGTTCACTGTTGCACTGGCTGTGCCAGACCCCTTGAAGGACACCTTCTGGGCACACTGGGCCAGATTTTCAGAAGTGTTCAGCATTCACACAGCTCTTAGACTCAAGGGAGTGATATCACTGTTTTGAAACAGACCACGGTGAGGCTGAGCCCTTGTGAAGTCCCGCTTTCGGGTCCACCATCCTGGGCCGCCTGTACTGATTTCCCAGGAACTTCGATCTAAGCCTTTCTTCAGGCCGCCTTGAGCGCTTTATGGCCTCAGGTGACCCTTCTTATCCATTCGTCTGCACATACTTAAGTTTCATGCCCTCGTCTTTCTGAGTGTACCAGAGCACGGGATTTTTAGGATTCTAATACAATGTTTACTGCTGTAAGCATGGAATTCAGATACTCAAAATTACTGCTGTTGTTTGGGAATAAGGATTAGCAAACACGCCCTCTGCATAACACCAACATTATCATGTCTAGGCTACAAATAAAGGAATGCAGCTGCAGTTTGATGAGAGCAAGCACGAATGGAATTTTCTGGTTTTGAACACAAAATTAGCTTGGCAGATTCATCTTCTTCATGCTTTTCATGAGAAGGAAAGCAGAAATCCCTTCGCTTGGTCCTGATGGTAACAAGAATACAGGTTGTAGTTATGCCTTGCTCTTGGGGAGAAGACTCCCACAAGATTTTCCCAACAGACAGTGAGGCACAGCTAGAATCGGACAGTTATTTTATTCTAGGAACAGCATTAAGCAGCATTTAGAAAACATAAAGAGCAATTCCTGTACTTACACCTCCTTTGATAATAAGGATTTCAGTGCAGAAAATGGTAATTTAAATATTTTTTTGGCTGCTGTTCACTGGCGTTTCCAGCCAGCTCCTGAAAACTCAGTTTGCTAAACTTGGGTATTTTCATGTTTCAGACAAAAATATAAAAAAAGTGGAAAAATTTCTAGGACTGCCTGCAGAAATATCTGTTTGGCCAAGCTCTAAAGTTTTGTAATACAGAGAGAAGTGATACAAGAACGAGTTTCTGGCTAGCCTCCTTATAGCGCAGACTGAGAGGTAGATTTTTGACCTACTCCTGGGAAAACTGTTGCCTTCAGCTGCTGAAGAGCTCACTTTGAGTGAGACAGCACTTCCAAAAGTGCAGTGTATCCCCTTTCTGCCGGCTGGAAAGGAACAGATTCTGAACAATTAACATCTGTTCCTGCACTACACACATGTTGAAAAGGGATGTCACTGAACTTACTTGCCCAGTTAAGCTGTGCTGAGTGTTCTACCCATCTCCTCCTGATTTCTTAATTCAGTTTCTTTTCAAGTCAATCGAATTTTTCTGTTCTCTTTGGATCACGCAATGATAGTTTTTGAAATAGCATTCAAGACATTAAATTGATATAACACAGACTGCGTAGATGACTAATTAGTCCTTTCTTACCTGCTTCTCGAGCAACTCTTTGCAGATTTCTGGAACGGGCAGAATTTAAAAGGAAAATAAATGATATCAATGTTACCCACTTCATGGCTGCCAATTATGATGTGGGCTATATTGCTCAGAAATGCTAGGAAGATTGAAGCAAAAGCATTTGGTTATATACCTTTTCCTACCTGTGTCTGTCAAATATTAACCATAGAGTTGCATTTGTAGATTTCCATTTGAAGCAAATTACAAAACTTGGACTGTCCTTGCAAAAACCAAGTTTGATATTTTTTTTGCTTATTATGAGTTACTTTGGGCCTTTTTGTCCTGAAAAGGTTGAACCTTCCGGCACCCAAATAGATAACAGTTTTACGTAAATTTCCTTATCAAATGACAAACAAGGAGTTCAAGGCATCAGACAAAAAAGTCATCCAGTCTAATCCTATAGCTGTGCTTTTTTTTCTCTTTCTTTTGCTAGTATTTGTTCAAAAGTAAAGTAGGTTGGTGTTATACAGTGCCAGCTCACCCAGACAGGATTCAGTCCACATAATTGCTTGTAATTAGCAAATTGGAGAATTTTACGTGTAAATCACTTGACAAAGGTGACATGGCTCATCAAGACTTTGGTATAAAAAAACCACAGATGAGTGAAATCCAGCAGTGAGCACACAGATACAAGTAACCAGCAGCTCCAATCGCAATGGGCTTTTGAATTTGTAAAGAATCTTTCAGTAACGGAGCTCCAGAGCAGACACCAATGACAGATCTGTGTGAGGAAGCTGGAACTGACACGCTGACGCTGTGTGAGACTGCATCTCGCTCCAGATTCTGGGATGTGCGTTTGGGGTGACACCTCAGGGGAAGGCTGCTCAAGCAGCCACGTGGCCGTTTGGCTGACCGTCTTCCTCTGGCAGAGGAGAATTCATCACCAGAATGTGGATCTTTTTGATTAATCTGTAACCTCCAGCCTAGCTGACAACTACCTAGTTTGGGGTGGTTTTGGGGTGCTTTTTCGTTTTGTTTTCTGAGTTTAGAAACTTTTGCAGACATTTTGCATAGATGCAAATGGTGAGAGGTGGAATGGTGGTTACAGGGGCCTAACGATACTTTTCCCAAGATCTCAGATAAAATGAATGTGAGGAGTGAACTCGGCAATCTGACAAATGCCCTCTGAGCCAAAGAAAGCCACTGTAAAAACTCAACGTGACTTTCCTGCAAACATCAGCTTGATTTACCTGTCTTGAATGTGTGTCTCCTTTCAAATCTTAACAGAGGGTTCAGTGAGATAGAAACATATGGTAAGGTGTCCTGTTGATAATCAGAAAGAGACTATCCAAGTGGTGAACAAATGTGGTGGTGGCAAATCATGTCTCAGAACAGCCCTCAAAATGATCTCAGGCTCTATCAAACCAAGCTGCAGCAAATGACAGGACTGGGAGGTGAAAGTGTGTTCTGTTGCATTGAAATTAAGGACAAGAAGAAGTCTTGATACGTTGCATCTTGAAAGCGATCTGGAATTTTCTGCTGCAGCATTGTGCAGGGTTAGCAAGAATGCTATGGGGCCCCTAGAGTCATTATGTAAGTTTGTAGTACAGGGTCCAAGTCTATTTCTAGATATCTTCTGTTGTCTGTCCTGTACTTTATGCCAACGTTTCATACACACGCTGAGAGATCTGAACTCCAACGCTGATGTTTGTTTAACCATATTAAATGTTATATCGAGCTTTTTTGTTCCTCAATTCTTCCATGCTACCTTGAGCAAGCTCTCAACAAAGTGGCTCAAAATGCACTAAATTGCATGAAACGTCTGAGTAACAAACCTGATATATCATCCTAAGAACAACTACTGCTTTGGCTTTTTACCTATCTAAGGATAACATAAGGGTGGGCAGCCAAGCAGCATTTTTATTTTTCTTCCTCAAAATGAAAAACAGCCTTCTGCCAAGGCAGATCGAAGTAGCAGATGCTACTTCTCCTCTGTCTGCAGCTGGAGGTGAGATAATGCTGAAGAAGGCATTGCCATCTCCTATTTACAGGCCCGTGCCTACAGACATGTGGCTTAGGTGCTGTTTTTAAAATATTTTTTTTTTGACAGTACCTTATTTTTTAACTTAGTGTAATTATGGGTATATTTATAAATATATGTCTGTAGCTCTGGACGCTTGGTCAGGCAGCCATCTTTTTCTGCTATGGTGCGTTATGTTTGCTCTTCTTATCACTGATGTTTGACTCCCATGCGAAACAAGTCAGACATCTAGCAGAGATATATGCCTTTTATTTGAACAGAGATGGACTCCGAGATATAAAATGAGCAAGAAGGCCCATTTGATGAGCAAACATAAGCATGGAAAGGTTTGGATTGCCGCAGTAGAATAGGCAGAGTCCTGCTTAGATGTAGCTAACAGCATTCCAGGATACGACTTATTTTCTGGGCACATCCTGACTTTGGATGCTAAACCATGCATCTTGGGCGATGAGCCACTCAACTGCCATTTTACCGAGTTTTCTGACAGTAAAATAAGCATTCTGAAATCAACCAGGAGGACTGGTCATAGTCTCTCTGCACCTACATCATTCAAACACCAATTCCAATAAGCTCAGTTTGTAATTTCCTGTATCTGTCCTCTGACAGACCAGATGCAAGACCACAAATCTGCATCCTAAATAGTTTTGCAAACCTCAGCTTCAAGTCAAAACACAGAACACAGATAAGAGCAGCCAGAACATGCAGTATTTGGCGCTTACCTCAAAGTGAGGGACAAAGGCCCAGGGCAGGGTAACATGCACACACTGTCCCCTCTGCTCGCTCCTGATGATCGAGTCCATCTGTAAAGCAGGTATTTTTAAAACAATGCTGAAAAGCCCAATGAAGAACTGGTTTCCATAGGCGTACGAAAATGTTTTGTACATGTATTATTACATATGGTAGTTGTATATTTTCCAGATTGTCAAGTTAAGCTTGAATTTGATCACCTGATTGCATAATTTGACATCATATCTTCCAAAGTCCAGCTCAAGACACACACACACAGAGGCTCTCATATATATTTATGAATACCTCTGCTGAAGCAGCCAGAGGAGAAGCCAGTGCAAGTCTGTCTTCTTTTATAGCTTGTTGACCAGGTCTCTGTAGGCTTCCCTACTTAGCTTGATCAAAGAGAAGAGACTGAGTTCACAGCTTGTTACACTTCTTGTTATGCTGTCTTTACATCCAAAATGTTCTCGGTTTCAACGTGTATTTCTAGAGGTTTGAGTCTTGTTGCCTGCCCTGCTTTTTAAAATCCTGTAGGTTTGACCCCGAGGGCATTCTACCATCCCTACCAATTCGTCTCACAAAATGCAGAATGTGGCCATGTAGCAACGGTTGCCGACATCATCCTTTGGCAGCAAGTAAAAGAATGTTTTTTTTCTGCCTTGTGAAGTCACACCTTACTGACTGTAGGCACCTCATATTGACTCCTCCACTAAGTATCAAATCGCTTGAAGCAGAAGGCAGCCTTCAATGTTTGGTGAGGGCTATCAGCGGGCAAACTCTGTGTCCTGTCAGAATTACCCTCTCTTTCCCCTGTCCCCCTTTTTTCCTGTCACTACGAGTAGGTAGTGTGCAAAGTAGATGAGGTACTGGCTTGATTATTTTATTCATTTTTAGTCATAAGGCCTGTCAAAAAAACCTCAGAGTGATGTTTTTGTATGGGTGAAGCACACACCTAATTAGAAAATAGATGTAGGAAATAATTATCCTATTTTTTTACGAATTGCTTTGACATGCTATCTGGAGTTTACACTGTTGTGGTGGCCCGCTAGGAGTTTGTTTCACAATGGAACTGTGGGTGGCGATCTTTTTCCTTCCTCTTACATAACTCTCCGGAGGCCTTTGGAATCCAGTATGTTCACTTGTGCCCTAGAAATGTTTTGGCACTCAGTTTCCGATTTCCATGCTGCTGCCTGAGCTCTGCAGCCTGTATTCTTCTGAGTTTTACGATCTACATATTTTTGCTGTTTTGTATGCCGCTGATGTCCTATCTCCACAGAAGCCATCTCCACAGTGGCTGCTGCCATTCTTCATTAACATGTTGTCTAAAAATCACTGGCATTGCTGATTTATGTGGAACCATACACATTTTATTTAGTGTGTCTCTCTTAATAGCCCGTGAAGCATTGATTTTGTTTAAACTCTGTTTTTACCTCTGTGCTGCATTTCCCACCAACGTTGATGTATTCTTCATGCGTTTCCACATTTTAAAAACTACTACTGAAACTGTTCAACCCATGCTTACGCTTAGCTGTGAGCTGCTCCACATATTTCTAATGATCCTAACAGACTTGCTTTTCAGTTCTCTGAAAATTCTCACTCAGTCTCTGCGGTTCGTCCTCTTCACTAGTCTGTCTTGGTCCTGGCTATTTTGATTCCGATAGCTAATAAATGGCATTCAAGCTCAAAGAAACTGTTGGTGGCACTGTGCCCAGAAAAGGGCAACTGCAGTCAACTGTAGCTTGATGGTCTTTGGCAGTAGAGAAGAACTATTCAGTGAACGTCGTTTAGTCAAGAGCCAAAGCTGAAAGCTTTTGTTTGGCAAGAGGTTGTTCATATTTCTTTCCTAGGCCTAGGTTTAGCAATGAAAAAGATATTGAAAACTTCTGAGGAATGGCACAAAATGTTTGGAGATTGTTTTTGTTTGTTGTGAATTGCTCTAAGGCATTTATCTGCGACCTCCCACTTACAAAAAAACACAGCTATGAGCGGTTTTGTGAGTTTAAGCAGGTGTCTTTGCTAAAACCAGAAGAAAAGCATGTGGAAAGTGAACTAATGATTCCAGGAGCCGTCAGTTTTCACTCCCAAATGGAAACACTTTAAGAGTTGAAAAAATTGCTCCATGTAGAGTGGGGCTGTAGGACTTGGGGAATACTGAGATTTTGCAGACTCCTCCATTCTGCAGCTGACACACCCAGTTATTACTGCACCACTGACAGCCTTTGCCCCTCAGCACTGCTGACACTCTTCCTTTGTCCTATTTTTCATGTAGTTTCATCGTAATAGTTTTCCCCTTCTGGCCTAAAAACAGCAGAGTTGCTAAATATTTCCTCTTTCGTGTCCAGCTCCATAGAAACAGAATCTGTGTTATTGCTATCATTGTTCTCTGATTTTG